TCTACACTTTGAAAGTGAAAAGTGTATACAAATTTGATTTGACTTTGTCAATTCAAAAAGCAAATAGTCAATGATAGCACTAAATCAATTAAACCCAAATATATCAACTAAAATAAATCCAGATATAGCTTTGGTGAATTTCAATTATCATTATCATTATCTTTGGTTAAGTTAAATATAAATTAGACTTTAAGGTCAAAATTGTATAAAAATTATTCAAATGATCACAGTATAATTACATATTACTATATAATAGAATATGTAGAGTAAATTGTTTTGAATAAAGTCTAATTTATTAAGGTTAACAGTAGACAAAAGGCTAACAGTAGAAAAAAACATTTACAAACTTAAAAATATAGTGTTGGAAGTAGCTGTGAACAATGTAATTAAACAATCATATGTACTTCAAAAATGAACTTTGACTTCGTCAATTCAAAAATGATTATATTTTCGCTTTCTGAAAATCCTATATAATTGTGATTGTTGTAAATAAATACAAAACCTTATCATATGAGAAGTTTTGGTCTGTGATTGTTTGACAAGTAATATACGATTAGGGAACCTTATCATTAGTAATATACGATTAAAAAGTAAGAAAAATGTAGGAATGAAACTTTTATACATGTTTTACAAAATGTGATACATCTTTGAGCCTATAAAGTACCAGAAAAAGCTAACAACGCTTTTTAGCACATTACAAAATCAAACCGTAAAAATTGTAATTGACCAAATATTTTCCATGTCAATTTGTCTAAAAAGTACACTATACAGTACTGTTTCTGATCTCAACGGATCTAAGATTTAAACATTTAAAATCTACAATTTACAGAAGTAAAGTTTTATAAACTTGGAGAGTAAATACTCATCCCCTAATACATACAATATAATATACTAATTTGTAATCTGAAAATGTAGAATCTGTGATATATAAGAATCTGTCAGCACTGCCAAGTATTCAACTGCTGTGCCAAAAAAATGTCAAAAAAAAAATAGGACTACAAATAGTAAATGTAATTTAGTCATTTAACATATGCATCACAAACAAAGTTTAATCATTTGCCAAAGAATCAAGAACGAACAAAATGATTTTAACTGATTTTATTATAACAACTTTAACAATATAAGTAACAAATGTGACAACAAAGTATTCAAGTACTTAGTATGTAATCTATCATTAAAAATGTAATGAATCTCAATATAAAATTGGAAACACAATGCTCTTTGGCTTTAAAAACCACATAATTTGTAATTTGTAAATAAAAATGTTAGAAATATACAGACAGATTCTAAAAATTTCATATAACTGCATCAGAATTATAAGTTCATCATTTGCCCAATACTAAAAACAGTGTTAGTATATTTGTAAAAAGAATAAGTGCATTAGTGATAGGGGAAACATGTGTATTCAATGACAGCATTACACTATTGAATTTTGGTTTTCCCAAAAAAACTGAACAGTCATAATCATTTCAGTACATGTGTAAACATTAATGATTATCAGCCACTAAAGCATTCAAAATATAGCAAATATGCATGCTCAAACTACACTCACAAATCATTATTGAAAGATCCAAAACAACATCAGACATGAGGAAACTTAATTCATCTACACTAATAAGGAGCCAAAGGAAGCACATAATCAACAATCAAGGTATATTCTACACTATTAAAACTCTTAATTTAAGTTTACCAGTTTCTGCTTTTACTTCAATGACCACAGCCTATTATGCATCCTGATCTTCCCATCTTTCTCTTATGCAACCAATTATGAACACTGCTCCCCTAAAAGATAAGAGTATTTAAGTTAGTTGAAACCCTAAGAAATAATATGATGAATCTCTATACTAATCTACGATTTTATGCTAATATTTGTTTCAATTCCACTTATCTGAGCGACGAATGGTCGAAAAATTCCTGGAATGTCTTTCTACGGTGATGAACACTGTACCACATTTGTACACAGATCTGCAAATTTTTTTTTTTTAAAAAAAATGTTAATTACAAGCAAAATACGATTGTAAACGAAGGGACTGGATTGAAAGATTACAATACAGTTTGTAGGTAACTTATCTCATAGCGACTGGATTGAAAGATTACAGTGCTTTGTATCTAGATCGTGACATCAACCTGAGAATCTTCAAAATACGATTGTAAACGAAGATGGACTAATCAAAACCCAAATCTTCCGATTAATCTGAAGATCGCCTACTAAAAACGAAGCGACATGAACAAAATCGAAGATCCGACACTCAAATCGAAGATCTCCGAGTAAACAACGACGATCTGGCAACACAATTTCAGATTGGAAGAGTGAAAACGAAATCGCCCACAAAATAATAAAATCTTCGATTAACAAACGAAGATCGGGCACTCAAATCCATGATCTTCGAATGAGAACGAAGATCGCCTGATAAATATTGAAATGAAGATAGGGTTTTGAAAATCCATCCTCATCGGATGTTAAAGGTCATGAAGATCTTTAGGACATGAAGCTTATTGCCTGAAATTGTACAAAGCTCAAGAGCGAAGAAAGAAATAGGGATGTCCGCATTCGGATATGGATGAGAGGTAGCTGGGAGGAAGGAGAGTGTGAGGGGAGTGTTATGGGTAAGAAGTGGGCCGGGTATGGGTTATCAAACATGGGGAATGGTTTGGGCTATGTATTAAAATCATTATATATTGGGTTTGATTAGGGGAATGTTTAATTATAGAGATTTGCAGATTTTAAACCCATACTTCAATAATAAGTTTGTACAAAAAAATAGTTGATTATAAATTCAGATTAATTTTTTAAAGTATTTTTGTATATAAGGTACATTACTTTTTTAATGGATGTACATTATTTGCATTTAGAAATTTTTTATTTTAGTTTTGATTATGGTTCACGTTACTACGTGGACCACGGTTAATGTATTGACGATGTTAATTCATGACTTATTTCATATAATACTTAACTTCTAATAGTGTTTAAATTTCTTACCATTAAGAGCACTTATTTTTTGCTTGTAATTTACACGGTATATTTATTGGACCATGGTTAATGTATTCTCAATTTTTATTAATGCATCTATTATTATACAAGCCATCCTTCAATAATAACTAACGAAAATAAAAATAGGTGATTATGAATTCAGATTAATTGTTTTAAGTTTCTCCGTATATAAGGTACATTACTTTTTTAATGGATGTACATTATTTGCATTTGCCTTTTTTTTTTTTTTTTTTTTTTTTATTGTAGTTTTGATTATGGTTCACGTTAATGTGTGGACCACGGTCAATGTATTGACGATGCTAATTCATGACTTATTTCATATAATACTTAGCTTCTAATAGTTTTAATTAACTATTTTAAATCACTATAATACATACGTTGTAAAATTTTTCAAAAATGTTTCCACTTTGACTTTCTATTTTGCACTTTTAAAATTTGTTTTTAATTATGTATCACGGTACTGTGTGGGCCATGGTTAATGTATTTATGTTTTTAAAAGTGCACTAATTCTTATAATATATAGCTTATAATTCAAGTTATATATGTTAGTTATTTATTGTCTAATGTTTGCCTTTGCAGAAAATGTTGAGAACAACAATACCATGCTACAAGAAAATATTAATGATCTGCAAATGGAATACACACCACAAATGTATTGTAATTCAAGTGAGAGGCCAAAAAGTGCTCTCACAACAGGTAAACTATTTAAAGTTTTTACAAAATTTCTTTACAGTAGATAACATATGACAAACGTGTTATGTTTTTTCAGTTAATATAGAATCCTTGGATATACAAATTAGTACGCGTAGTACGGAATATACAACCAGCAACAGTAAATCAAGGCATTTTGTTTTAGGATCCCGAAATACATTCTCTTCGAGTGCAAAAAGCGATATACTTAACGGTGAGTTTTTACATTTTATACCACAATTACTTAATTGTTTGTATTCCAGTTACATGCTATAAAAAATTTCTTTTAAATTCCATGTTTAATTGGTTATATAAAAGGTACCCACACAATTTCTGAGAACAAACGCCCACCTCTAAACGATATATCCAATGGTAAGTATTTATTACGTCATTTTATACAAATTAATAACTGTTTATTAAATTATGCTAGCTAAGTTGTAAAGTATATATTTTTTAGGTAACACAAATTGCAACAAAAGAAAATGCATGGATAAGGGTAAAACTATTATCCAGTGTAATGTTGTCAACCGGGATTTGTTTCAAGATTTTGAAGAAGTTTCCAATATGGACACTATTTCAAAAACCGCGAAAGTACATCATGGTACGTATAATGTTAAATAGTAGTAATTTCCAAATGTTTATGCCTGTTATTCTTGGTTTAAGTCATATGAAACTAATTTCATATATTATGCTTAGCATTGTCACCAATTACACAACAACATATCCAATTAGGTGAAAATGGTAAGTAATTATTTTGTAAATGGTAACAATGTCATTACCATATTTTGTGGAGGTTTGTACACATTTCAAAAAAAAAAAATTAATTATGTACATGGTAGGTACAAATCCATTTTTTGAGACTACATGCACAAACCAAGTCACAGTACGAATTGAATCGACAGTTGGGACTTCAAATGGTAGCCACGTCGGTGATGAGCCAACAAATAGCTATCAAGGTACATAACCAACTGCTTACAATACTGGAATGTTTGCTATATTACGGTGTTTTAATAAACTTAGTGCAGTTGGATTTATTTTATTTTAATTATCTACTTAGTGGAATACCAAGATCTTGGTGATGCAACTATAACATGTCAGCACTGTGGAGCGCTGTTTTGGTACGAAGAAAGGACACACAAAACAGATAATCGCGGCCACCCAAAATATAACTTGTGTTGCAACAATGGTAAGATTCAATTGTCATACATGCTGATGCCCCCACAACCGATATATGATCTTTTTTTTTGGAGAATCAGAAAAGAACAAGGAATTTCTACACAACATTAGAACATATAATAGTATGTTCTGCTTCACTTCGATGGGTGGGAAAATAGACCGAAACGTCAACAGAAACGGTGGTCCCCCAATCTTCCGTATAAGTGGCCAGAACTTCCATTACATTGGCAGTCTATTGCCGGTAGATGGCATGAAACCGCATTTCGCGCAGCTGTATATCTATGATACCAACAATGAAATGGACAACCGTGTCAATTCTGTTAGGTAAGTCTGTTGCATTTTATGTTATAAATGTTGTTATGATGTAGTTTTATTACAAATCTAATTGTTCACCGTTTTATATTTTAGGCAAGATGGTAAGCGAAACGACATTCATGTTGAGATTGTCAATGTGATTCAATCTGTTTTGGATGAACACAATGTGTTGGTCAAAACCTTTCGCATGGCACGAGATGAACTACAAAATAATCCAACCGCTGAGGTTAAGATAAAATTGCTTGGTAAGAGATCAAGGGATGCTAGGACATACAACTTGCCACAGGTCTCAGAGGTTGCTGCGTTGATTGTTGGTGATATCGATACTAATATTGGTGAACGCGACATTCTGGTTGAAACAAAGAGCGGTCTCTTGCAATGAATCACTGAGTTAAATCCAGCTTACCTACCAATGCAATATCCTTTATTGTTTCCTTATGGTGAAGACGGTTATAGGGAGGACATTCCATTCTCAACGATAAAGGGGAACACATCTGGTGGTCGTTAAAGGATAAGCCCTCGAGAATATTTTTCTTACCGTATCCAGTCTAGGACAACAGAAGTTTCAACATTGTTGCATGCAAGAAGGCTATTCCAGCAATTCCTGGTTGATGCCTATACGATGGTTGAGTCCGGAAGGTTGATATATATACGGACGCATCAAAAAAGTTTGAGATGCGAATCATATAATTGCTTGAATGATGCATTAACAAGAGGTGAACTTGACCCCACTGCTCAAGGAAAACGAATAATATTGCCTTCGAGTTTTACCGGTGGTGCTAGATACATGATACAAAATTACCAGGACGCAATGGTGATTTGCTGATGGGTTGGATATCCAGATTTGTTCATCACGTTTACTTGCAACCCCAAGTGGCCTGAGATACAACGGTTCTTGAGTTCAAGAAATCTCAGGGCAGAAGATCGTCCAGACATAATATGTAGAATATTCAAATTGAAGTTGGATGCTCTACTATCAGAATGCCGAAAGAACAAGTTATTTGGCCCAGTCATTGGAGGTACGTGTCAAAATAATATACTATTTTAATGTTGTAGTTTTTAATCCATACAAATTTCACAATTTTACCCATATATTATATGATGAATGTTGCAATTTCTTTGTTAACAGTGATCTATACTATAGAGTTTCAAAAAAGAGGACTACCGCATGCTCATATACTTTTGTTTCTGGATAAAAACAATCGAGCAGAAAGTGGGATAAATCTGGACAACATCATTTCAGCTGAATTACCTGACCAAGAAAGAGATCCAGAATACTTCAAAGTTGTTGAGGAGTTTATGATGCATGGACCTTGCGGGAAAGCACGGATGACTTCTCCATGTATGGCAAATGGTAAGTGTACTAAACACTTTCCCAAGAAGTTTGTTAATACATCAACTGTGGACGAGGATGGGTATCCTATATACCGCAGAAGAGACAATGGCAGGTCTGTCATGCGCAATGGTATTGAGTTGGATAATAGGTACGTAGTACCACACAGCAGACATTTGTTACTGAAGTATAGGGCTCATATTAATGTGGAATGGTGTAATCAATCACGGTCAATCAAGTATTTGTTCAAGTACGTAAACAAGGGCCATGATAGGGTTACCGCAGAGTTTTACAAATCCAACAGCGATGATGAAAGTCCAAAAGTGATCGATGAAATCAATATGTTCTATGACTGTCGGTATATTTCTCCGTGTGAAGTAGCTTGGCGATTGTTTGGATTTGATATACAATTAAGGACACCATCTGTTGAGCGATTGAGCTTTCACTTGCCCAATCAACAAAGTGTTATATTCGCAGATGACGATCCTGTTGATAACATTCTCAGCCGTCCAACAATTTTGCAGAGCATGTTCTTAGAATGGTTTGAGGCTAATAAAACCTACCCAGATGCAAAACAACTTACATATGCCGAGATGCCCACTAAATTTGTATGGAAGAAAGATGTTAGGAAATGGCAACCAATGAAAAGAGGATTTATCATCGGTAGACTTTTCTATGTGCCACCTGGTACAGGGGAGATATTTTATTTGAGATGTCTTTTGAATAAAGTAAAAGGGTCCACGAGTTTTTTGGACATAAAAAAAAGTAGATGGTGTGCAATATGATTCTTTTAGGGATGCGTGTTCTGCCAGGGGATTAGTAGACGACGACAAGGAGTATGTTCATGCTATAGTAGAAGCAAGTCAATGGGCGACCGGTGTTAATTTGAGAAGATTGTTTGTCACACTATTAATGTCAAACTCAATGGCTAAACCTGAAATTGTGTGGGAAGCTGCGTGGCACTATTTGGCTGAGGATGCACAATTCAAAATTAGAGCTCAATTGGGGATTACAGGTAAAATTTTATATTTGTAATTTCACTTTGTACAGATTTATTGTATACACATACTTAAAATATGCGATTGATTATATTATCACAGATTTGATTTTATCTGAAGATGAGAAAAAGAATTTCGCACTTCGCGAGATAGAAATAATGCTTTCTGCTATCGGAAAGAGTTTGAAAGACTTTCCGTTGATGCTAATGCCGGATTTAGAGATTCATGATAGAACCACCAATCGTATGATACAAGAGGAATTAGCATATGATATTAATGTCATGAAGGAAGAGAATGAAAAATTGGTGCATCAACTCACCGAAGAGCAAAGGGCTATATATGCAAATGTTTTGCAAGATGCCGAGAACGATCTTGGAGGGCTGTTTTTTGTTTATGGATACGGTGGAACTGGGAAAACGTTCTTATGGAGAGCATTGTCGTCTGCTTTAAGGTCAAATGGTGATATAGTTTTAAATGTGGCATCAAGTGGTGTAGCATCGCTTCTATTACCAGGAGGTAGAACTGCGCATTCTAGATTTTCAATACCAATTGCTGTTAATGAAGATTCAACATGCAACATCAGTCAAAGCAGTCTTTTGGCAAAATTGTTAATGCAATGTAAGTTGATCATTTGGGATGAGGCACCGATGATGCATAAGTTTTGCTTTGAAGCTTTAGACCGTAGTATGAGAGATATCATGCGTGCCAAAAATCCAAATAGCTTGGATATGACTTTTGGTGGGAAAACCGTGGTGTTAGGTGGAGACTTCAGACAGATTCTACCAGCCATTCCAAAGGGCACCAGGCAAGATATTGTTGGAGCAAGTGTCAATGCATCATATCTTTGGAGAAGCTGTAAAGTATTTAGGCTAACAAAGAATCTCAGGCTAAGGTCATTGCAATCAGAAACTGATGTTCAACAGATTGAAAAATTTGCAAAGTGGATTGCTAATATCGGTGATGGAACAATTGGTGAGTCTTTACATGGAGAATGTGAGATAAATATTCCTGAAGAATTTGTGCTAACTTGTGCTGAGGATCCAATTTCTACAATGGTTGATAGCATATTCCCTATGTTTCGCAGAGGTCATAGTGATATTCAATATCTAAAAGATCGTGCTATTTTGGCACCAACACTGGATATTGTGGATGCAGTAAATGAATACATGAATAACTACAATAATTCAGAAGGAAGGACGTATCTCAGTTGTGACTCGGTCTGTAAATCAGATTCAAATGTTGACATGCTTGCTGATTTGCACACTCCTGAATTTTTAAATGGATTAAGGTGTTCAGGAGTGCCAAATCACTCATTGACTCTAAAAGTTGGGTCTCCAGTTATGCTTCTGAGGAATATTGATCACTCATTGGGGTTGTGCAATGGTACAAGAATGATAATTACAAAGTTGGCAGATCATGTGTTAGAAGCTCAAATACTATGCGGTGCAAGTGCCGGTACAAAAGTCCTAATTCCAAGAATGTCCTTAACACCTTCTGATCCAAGATTGCCTTTTAAGTTCCAAAGGAAGCAATTCCCACTAATGTTGTCATATGCAATGACAATAAATAAAAGCCAAGGCCAGACACTCTCCAACGTGGGTTTGTTTTTGAAGAGACCGGTTTTTAATCATGGTCAATTGTATGTAGCAGTGTCAAGAGTGAGTAATCCGAAGGGATTAAAAATTCTTATTTGGGATGAAAATGTAAAATAAAAAAAAACCACTACAAATGTAGTATACAAAGAAGTATTCAATAATGTTTAATAAAATTTCAACAACTTCGCTATCCATTTAGTTTTTTATAATTATGTATACATATTGCCGTGCACCGCATGGGTGCAACTACTAGTTTGATAAATATTTGAAACTTTTAAAATCTATAAGTGCAACGAACAATATTACAAAGTGTACCCAATAACTTCATTCTTGTATAATAGCGACCATAAATCACATAGGAACCTCTAAACTGTATTGAAAGAATCATGTGGGACAAACTCAACTAAAAAAATGTTAGAAAGAATCAAACTCCGTAACCTTAAGCTAAGAAGCATCACACTCTACCTACAACATACTAGACTAATTTTTTGCTCGCACAGACTTAACTCAATGGTTCAGTATACAGTATTTAAAAGAAGAGACCAATGTTCGGTGACAGTGTGAGAACACACCACTGAACCAACCCCGTGACAGTGTGGAAACACACCACTGAGCTAACCCCACAACAATGTGGAAACATTCCACTGAGCCATTGAGTCACCGTATATCCTCAAATGCTTAGTGAACCTTTTGGGGAAGACTAATTATTTGTTGAGATGCTATTTTAGTCTACACATATTTAGTTAAAAAAAAAATAGTTATTGTATTCCTAAGTGAAAAAATTATTGAGTGGTCCTGCATTTATCAAACTTTCGAAATGACTCCCCAAGAATGGTTATAAATTTATGATCAGATCCCTTCCCCGATTCTCTTTCCCAAGCCCTATTTCCCCGATTCCCAGAAGTCCTTTCGAAGAAGCCCTCGTCCATTTTTCCCCAAATATTAAAACACACCCATCCATTTCTAGGGTTTTCTCCTCCCCAGTCCCCTCACACCCATCCAATTTCTCTTTCCAGGTAAGCACTTCTTCTTCTTCTTCTTTTCTCTCCAGTCAACGCTTCACATCACATATATTCATTCATTCATCCATGTTTCAGTGCGTGTGTATTTAATATTTACTGCAATTTTATTTATTATTTACTTTTTTTTTGTTCTTTCAATTCGAAGGAAGATTGGTGGATGCTATGGTGAAGGGGAAGCTGATACTTATCTGCCAGTCCGGCGGGAGCTTCGCGACTAACGGCGACGGCAGCCTGACCTACGCCGGCGGTGAGGCCAATGCCATGAACATTACACAGGAGACTGTTTTCGATGATCTCAAGCTTAAGCTGGCCGAGGTGTGCGACCTTGACCTATTGTCCGTCTCAGTCAAGTACTTCCTCCCCGGGAATAATCGGACTCTCATCAACTTGAAGTCCGATAGGGACCTGAAGAGAATGCTCGATTTTCATGCCAACTCCGTTACCGCCGAGGTTTTCGTCAGTGGCAATCCGGGGTTTGATCGCAGTGTCCTCAGCGCCTCCCCCATTAGGTATTTCTTATTCATGGAGTATGTTTGCATTTGTTGTTTTCTCCTTTCGTTTCAATGTTTCGATTATACGGTGTTAGCTTCTCAGGGCAATGGGCGTAAAACTGGCTGAGACTGTAAATCATAATGATTCGCCTGCAGAACCTGCTGCTGCCGTGAATAATATGTTTGAAGTTGCTGTGAATTATGCGTCACACCCTCCTGCTGCTGCTGGTGGTGCTAGGAAGACAAGGAAGAAGAGTGGTGGCCGGAAACTGTTGTCAGTCCCTCCTGCTGATTCTGCAGAAGAAGAAAATTCCTGCACTGAATCGAGTGCCCAGTCTTCTGACCATGGTTCAGGTGAAGATTCGGACTATGCTCCACGCAGACAGGCCATGTCTGGGGCAAAAGCGGATAGCGATTGTGACTTCAATGATTGTGGTACCCCTGCTGAAAGGGTTAAGAAGAGGAGACGCACTACTGGTTCAAACAAAGTTTTGGCTGGTTCTGGGAAGAAAAGGTCGCGCAAGAAAAGCAATGATGGGTCTTTGACTAATGTTGTTATAGAGGATGACCTGGAAGAGAGCAGGGCATTTGTTATGCTGTCAGATGAAGATCTGAATGGTGAAGAAGATTTGCCTGAAAAGCTAGTGGCATCTTGGAAGAAAGGCATTACTGGTGTTGGTCAGGATTTCCAAAGTGTCAAGGAGTTCCGGGAGGCATTGCAAAAGTATGCCATTGCAAATCGTTTTGTGTACAGATTGAAGAAGAATGATACTAACCGTGCAAGTGGTAGGTGTGTGATTGAAGGCTGTTCTTGGAGGATACATGCGTCCTGGGTTCATGCTGATCAAGCATTTAGGATCAGGAAGTTCAATGATGAACATACATGTGGAGGGGAATCTTGGAAGTCTGCTCATCCGGGAAGGAATTGGTTGGTGAGCATCATTAAGGAAAGGATACGAGATTCTCCAAATGAAAAACCGAGGGATGTTGCTAAAGGCATCTTGCGTGACTTTGGAATTAAACTGAAGTACACACAAGTTTGGCGAGGAATTGAGGATGCGAAGGAACAACTTCAAGGTTCGTATAGGAAGTCGTACAATCGGTTGCCTTGGTTCTGTGAAAAAGTACAAGAGACAAATCCTGGTAGTGTCACTAAGCTCATGGTTAATGAGGAGAAAAGGTTTGAACGCCTTTTTTTCTCATTCAGTGCTGCAGTACATGGCTTTCAAAATGGCTGCCGACCACTTATTTTTCTTGAAGCTTCATCTCTGAGATCAAAGTACAAAGAGACTCTGCTGACTGCAAGTGCAGTTGATGCAGATGATAGATTCTTTCCAGTTTCTTTTGCCATAGTAGATATTGAAAATGATGATAGTTGGCGGTGGTTTTTGGAACAACTGAAAACAGCAATTTCAACTTTGCAACCTGTGACATTTATTTCAGACCGAGAGAAGAATTTGAAGAACCATGTACATGAGGTGTTTGAGAATGGTTATCATGGCTATTCAATTTTTCACCTCATGGAGAGCTTGAAGAAAAACATGAAGGGCCCATTTCAAGGTGACGGCCGAGGAGTTATACCTGGTATTTTTCTGGCTGCTGCTCATGCTGTCCGACTAGATGCTTTTCAAATCTTCATTGAGCAAATTAAACAGATCTCCTCAACCACCTATGACTGGGTTATCCAGATTGAGCCAGAGCATTGGACAACGGTATTGTTTAAGGGTGTACCCTATAATTATATTACACATAATGCAGCAGAAACGTACTCCAAGTTGATTGAGGAGATGAGGGGATCGACCATAATGCAGAAGATAAATGCCCTGATATGTATGTTGAGTGACCAGATAAATCATCGTAGGGAAGAGTCTAGCAATTGCTTTACCAAACTTGCTCCATCAAAAGAGAAACAGCTACGAGAAAAAGCTATTAAAGCACAAAGCTTGAAAGTTTTGTTCTCGTCTGAAGTCATTTTTGAAGTTCATGATGACTTGACACATGTTGTGAACATTGAAAATCAGGATTGTACATGCCTGGAGTGGAAATTGAGTGGGCTGCCTTGTTGCCATGCTGTTGCTGTTTTCCTCTCATCTTCCAAGAGTGTGTATGACTACTGTCCACAATGGTTCACTGTTGAAAGTTTTCGTTCTGCATATTCTGAGCCCATTAATCCTATTCCTGGTATTGGGAAGCCTGTCGAGGACGAAGTGGATTCTGAAAGTGCAGATGTGCTCCCTCCTTCTCCTTCTCCTTCTCGGTTTCCAGTTCAAGAAAAGGAAGAAGAGACCAAGACAATAGACCCAAATAAGAGGACGGTTATGTGCAGCAAGTGCAAGGAACCAGGACATAATAAGGCTTCATGCAAGGTGAGTTTATAGTTCATAGCCATACTAGTAGTTCGTGCATCATGTACAGCTTTCATAGTTTATAGTGTTAGCTTGCTTGTGCTGTTATTGATAGTTATGATGAGGAAATAACTTAGATTGCCTTTGCAAAAAGCAGTAATTCTCCCTGTGTAATGTAATCGAAACTTCTTTTAACCCTCATTAGTTAATGAAAGCAATTGTTGCCTTTTAGTCAAATACTGTCAGAATACTGCTAGGGGACATTTGGTTCAGGTAATCTTAGATTACAGAGGTAATGTGAGCATGATAATGTTATATTACTTTGTTTAGTTCAAATTATGAGATTACCTGATAATGGTATATTATCTTAAAGTTGACATGGCGGTAATATTTTAAGGTAATTTGATTACTTCCATTTTTTTAGGGTCCGTTTGGAAAGTAGAAAAATGATTTCTGGAAAATATTTTTTGGAAAATGAGACATTTTCCTTTCCTGTGTTTGGCTTGGCTGCACAATAGAAAATTGTCTTTTTGTGTTTGGTTCATTTTCCAGAAAATGAACAGCAATTAACAGAATGGTATACTTCAACATTTTAATTGTTATATACTCAAAAATATATTTTTATTGTTGTTTTTTTTTTTTTTTAGAATATAACAATTTTTATTTCAAATTCCATGCAACGTAAATTTTGGTTGTATTTAATCATAATGCCTTTGCTCTCAATCTATCTTTCTATTACTAAAACCATTATCACAATATGAAAATTTGAAACCACAATTACATGCTAGAAACAACATAAAGGAATCAACAAAAAATAAAGTCTACAAAGTCTTAGGATCCAATATAACCAAGTATTAGGATTCAATATAACTAACTACAAAACATACATATAAAAATAAGTCTTAAAGATTACAGTCCAAGTCTTAACATCCATGTTAACCAACAAAAAAGACATACATAATTTAATCCGAAGAAGAAATAAATTTCTCAATCTATTTCCTCTTCAAACTTACATTCTTGGCCTTGAAAATCCGTGCCTGAATCCTTATTTGTCATCAAGTATTCAAATGCTTTACATATGTCATCTTCATGAAAGCCATCACTTATGCTCATCACATCCTTAAACAACTGATTTTCATCAACATCGGTATTCAAAGACTTAATTTTCATGGCAATACTACTGAGTTGTTCAGCAATTTCATCCACCTTCAAGTTAACTGACTTTCGCTTACGACCACAAATAAAATCCTGCAAACAAG